AACAAACTATGTTAAAGGGAATTATATTATATAACAAAGGGCAAGGTCACCAGAGTTCAGTATGTTCTAAGGTCTATGATGGAATGTACAACATTTTTGTGTACAGATTATTAAGCTAATCATAAAATGATTAATAAATAATGATTTATTCATGCGTTGGTTTTGATTGTAACACCTATTTATCACTACAGTAGAAATGCATGTAAACCAATAAGTTGCAATCTTAGCTACGTTGTCAACAAAGTTGACAGGCTGAGCTGAATATCTTACATTTTTTACTCAGAAATTTTCTGCCGTATAAGGCTTTTATGTTTTCCAGGAAGGTACAGTGGGTGGTTCACTCTCAGAGTTGTTTATTTCATGATGATAACTTCTCATTTTTTGGTAAAGAAAAATTTTGTTCTTAAGCTAATTCTTCTTGACAACAAGTCCAATATTTATGTTTTTCTACTTTAGATGGATTTGCTCATTTACTGGTAGTGACGTTATCTTCAATCCAACTTCTATAAATGTGGAGAATCTTATTTTCTAGAGTATCCCTCACAGTGTAGCCAACAGGCTGCTAGTTGAATGCTTGATTATTAAAATAATTGTTAAATGTGGCAAGAAAAATTGACAGTGGTGGTTAAGAGGTTTATATCATTTCCTTGCAGAGTCCAAAGTTTGCATTGTTGGCACAAGTGCCTGAAACTATTATGCGACAGTAGGCAATAAGAAAACAAATCTGCCGTTTAGATTCTTAGAAAAAAATCACTTCCAGTGGGTATAGGTATTATAACAAATATTTCAGTGTTGAATTCTTGTCATATGTAGCCAGGATGTGCGAGTGCTATATCTCAAACTATTGACATTCCAAACATCCTTACTATGGCAGTTATTTGCCTATTACAATTGGAGAAAGACTGGCGGCTAGTGATTAGTGTTTTAATGAAATGATAGACTGGAGACGTACTCCGCTGCGTATTAAATTGATTGGCACCAAATCTGTGAATGCTCGAGCCCCCTAAGTCAGTGGAAATAAGTTAGTCTGGGTTTGAAATGAAACTTTGGAAATGATCATTTAATTACTTTAAATTCTATCATGTTCTAGTGATATTTTGGAATTAAAAGTCATGTACAATATATCATTTGACGTCTAGATGTGAAAAACAACAACTTTTTTTCATACTCAGATCCAGCATCTTCTATTTATAGTTGCTTATGTTTTGTTGACAATCTATGCATATTAACTAGCTTATTTGCATATACATTATTTTGCTTTTCCTTTTTGGCTGCATTCCAAATGTGAGGATGTTTCTATTATGAGAAAACCAAATGAATCGTGACAAACTCTATTTCATCCATAAATTGCATAACTTGGAGGCAAACATGTTTTTGTGCTATCAGCTGTGTATGTGATTTAGTAGTTAGCGAAAGTGCAGCTGAGCTGACAAATGGGGCAATTAATTAAATCAACTTCCGTCTGTATTTAGTATGAGAGATTGCTCTATAGAGGATACAGTGGTATGGTATGTTTAGTAAAGATTTATATATGGGTTGAATTAACTGTGTACACATAACATTGTTAACAGTGAGTAAACAATACTGTAAACCCTTTTTATTTTGCGAAACAAATGCGAGTCAGTAAATATTGAAAAACGTTATAGCAGTGACAATTTCACTCTGCTGTCCTATTATATGAAATGTCAGTGACTTCACGAATGCTATAAATCATCAAATTATGGACATGTATAGTATGTATTAACTTTACATGTATGAGTAACTAAATTGTGATCACAGATTTATGACGCAACTGAATTTGCTTCAACTAACAAGTAATAATTTGTGAATTTAAGTAAACTTTACATTCTAAATAATTTGCATACAACAGAAAGCATTCTGCTTTATAAATGTTAACAAAATTTGCTTCCAGTGGTTTGGTATACAAGCCAAATAAATTTTCATATTGTTCACCCGAATTTTCATTGTTCCAATTTGCATAAAAGTAAACAAAATCTATTAGTCCTGACTTGTAAACAGAACCTGCATAAATGTGATCATGTAAATTTGCATATAGGTCAGGAAATTTACATACTGCTAATTTGCATATATGTTAGGAAATTTACATATCACTGATTTGGTCAGAAAATTTGCATAATCTGTATTTGCATATAGTTCCACCAAATTTATACTCACTTCTAATTCACATATTTATGGAGGTTAACTAAATTTAGGCCAACAAAAATATTATCTTGCTTTTTTCTCCTGGTCTCATAGTAATCAGAAATAAGAAATTAATATTTCAGGTAGTTGAGAATAATATTCTGTTTGATTATGTCAGCACAGTAAAAAACAGTTACCATGTCACCAACTAGTACGCTGATTTAAAGTTGAGTCATGATGATTACGCTCATTCCTGGTGGATATATGATGCACACACAAAAATGTCATGTGACACTAAACCATGTCTATTAGGAATAACAAAACAAGTTGCATAAATGTATCGTAGCTCTGTTTATCAGTAAAATTCCCCTTGGATCAAATATAAATGCTGACAAAATCATTTTGAACAAAGAAATGAAAAACGATTATATGAAAAATATCGTCACAATATTGATCGTGTCGTTTTCTCACTTTTTAGTACAGTTCCAGAACTTCTAATAAAGAAAAGACGTTTTTGACTCATCGTTTGAATATTATCGTGATGACATTATGACATCAATACTTTTCTCTCTGCGTGAATATTGAATGAACATGCTTTCTCCTTTGTTTCCAGGGTAGCGCTTGCAGTTGGTTTCTATGGCAACCAGCTAATGAATACTGGTGTGAGCGACGTTGCTGATGCTGCAGAGAATGCCAATGAGACAATAGTAAAAGTAGAAACGCAGGTAACAAATGTTTGATATTGTCCATTCAATTCGCTTATCATTTTTACAGTAATGCTTCATATATACTGTGCATATAACTTTGTCCCTATTTTTGCATTTTATAGTTTGTGAATAATTGATTGCTATCCTTTGATAGCAGTAGCTCCAGGATTTAAAACAGGTTTTGTGTTACAGTACTGTCCATGCCGTGGGGTATACTTGCAAATAAAATGTCTTTCATTTTGTCACATTGCCACATGTCAGGTTTTTTTTTTTCAATTATATTGTGACATTCAGTTGTAATGTTTTCTGAGGTATATTTCTATATAGAGGAGTCGGAGTCAGTATGGAGATAGGAATCATGAATGAATGGACTGCAATGTTCACTGTGATTGTCGAGTTAAACTGTACCAAGTTGTTTTGATGAAACGTACCTGAGACTAGATTGCATCGTCTTGCGAACAGTTCTTTAGTTCTTTACTGAGAGTTAATCTCACTGGCTCATAAACAGTTCTATTGCTTCATTTTTTGTAGGAATTTAACAATGCCAGTAATTTTTACTGCATCAGTCATTTAAAACAATTTTTTTAATAAAATCTTTATTCATGCGTCTTTGTCATGCAAATTGTGCAACCCCCTAACTTTGTAAGGTATGCAAAATGTACAACCCTCCTCTTTGTGAAGTATGCAAATTGTGTGACCCCCTAACTTTATGTAGTATTCAAATTATGTGACCCCCTAACTTTGTAAGTATTCAAATTGTGTGACCCCCTAACTTGTTAGTTATGCAAAATATGTTACCTCTAACTCATCTGCTGGTATGTAAAATGTTAGTCTATGGTGAGCATTAGTCTATACTGACTGCATTCATGGATGGAATTGCATACAGTGACGTGTGAAAATTAGTGCATCTTGTCGACTCTATAGATGGCATTGTGCCGTACCTGTGTAACAGCAGGCACTGACAGAAACTATTTTCTCCTACGTTGTAGATGCCTTGTATGTTGTTAGGAAATTAATTTGTATTGATGTTTGTATTCCGTGGTACTCTTTGCTTGGCTCCCTCTAGTGGCTATGTCCAGTCCCTCTCGTGACCATGCGTTTTTAAGGTTGAAAAGCAAGAAAACTGTATTGAATCTTACACTAAATAATCTAATGGCACAACACAAAATCTTTTGGTCCTCTGGCTCTCATTGTGTTAACTTTTTTTGATCATTACATCTTTTTAGGTGAGTATCATTGACCGAACTCTAAGTGATGACTTGACTCAGAGTCTTGAAGACTTGAAAGGAACCTTTTCTCTACCGATCAGCAATGTCACGGTGCAGGAAAAACTCCAAGAGTTGACATCTGCTATGATCCTGTATGTCGAGGAAGCTGCAGACAGCGTAGTAGAAGTCAAACAGGAAATTGAGAAGATAAATGTGGAATTCAACGAGGTTGCCAGCATGATAAGACACTACGAGTTTTTGAGGTATGATTTTTATGAAGTTTACATATATAGTTTAGTTCTATTTCTTAAAGTGTTGACTGTCACCCACAGATGTTAGCTCTCTTGTGTGTCAGTGATAATTCACAAAAAATTGAACAAATATCACTTTCCACAAACAATGGAAAAAATAGTTATGACAATACTTATTAATGCGACTTTCAATCCCACACATTCATACTATACTCCAATATACAAATTTGTCAAAAACTTTTCAACTTTTTCAAAACACGAATACAGCAAATGTTTCTGGTGGATATAGAATTTAGTAATTTCATAACAATGCTATAATGTCAATAGAACATTTTCTTCCCTTCATAAAAGATTTACATTATCAAGCTTGGTTAAAAGGAACAATTGGCAACACTGTGGAAAACACATTACTCAAAATAAATAAATAGTATTGCTGCGTTGATACTTGGCCATGGGTGGAGTTTGTCAAATTCACGGAATCAGCTAATTTTTTGTGTGGAGTCCGGTCAAACCATGATGGCAGCCATGTTTGTTTTTATTAAAAGAGGATACTTACATGTGTAATCATTTCATTTTATAATATGGTAGGATGAAAATACCCCGTAAAATACCACAAAATTACGGCATGCTGTAACTTATGGCGTTACAATGACAGATGTATAATAATGTCTTTTAATAGGTGGCTGGTTACCATTATAGTACTCTGCTGGGAAGCCATCGTGTGTCTGCTTGTATTCCTCGGTGTTTGCCGCTCATCCAGATGTGTCCTCTTTTTGTAAGTATAAATCGCATCATCCAAGTTTTCAAATATGTAAAATATAGAAAACAGTACTCGGGGAAATATTTGTAAATTACAAATTTGTAGACATGCACATACATATAATAAGCCCTAGTTATTTGGTGGTTGTAAGGCTATGTTATCGTTTTAATCTAAATCCTGCTTTTAGAAGATTTGTTTGACTGATGGAGGTAATTGTGAGTACTGTATTAGGGTGATGTGATTTTTGATGGCTCGCTGTTTACAGAGACAGATTTATGATAATGATTTAAATAGATGAACATTATTTTCACTTTCCCAACATGAAAATGTAAGATTATAGCGATGACATCAATCCCAGCATGCCATTGGACTAATCAATGGCACCTAATTTGCATAATCTCCATAGTGATCCACATCCCCAAGAAAGGATGCCTGCTGGATATCTTAGCAGCATCTGCCAAAGTTCTTTTTAATGATGTGTTATTCAGCTCTATTTCTTTATACGAAGGTTGTAAATTAGTTCGCTTTTTGCAGCTGTACTATCAGACCTTGGTGAATTAATAAAAAGTTGATAACTCATTAACAATTTATGAACTGCTTCCCAAATTTACAAATGTTGTTTCAACATACATGTATTCCAATATGAATAATAGCAAACTCTGTTTAGAATATAACCATGATTTGGGAAAAAATTGCATCTTTACAGTAGGATGAAGATATCGCAGTCAACAAAGCAAAATTAGGACACGCTGGAATTTACAGAGATATGATAACAGATGTAATAGTGTGATGGTTTTCTTTGAGAAAAAAATTATTTATAAGAATGTTTGAAAACTGCCATTCAAAATAATACTGTTTAATAAAAATCAACAGTAATAAATAATTTACTTGATTAAGCCTCTAGGATCTGGACTAATGAATCATGTGGTTTGTTCACAGCTGTTCTTTAATCTCTCAGCAGGGTAGGAGAACAATTTCTTAAAGAAATTATCCAACCGAAAATGTTCATATTTATGTCTTCCGTGAACATCAATAGATTTTTTAAAAACAATTTTAACAATGTTACGGTTGATTTTCATAACACTATAGACATTTTACAAAGTCAAACATTTTCTGCCACAAATGTTTGAAAATTTTAAAGGGAAAAAATTTGAAGAACACCAGTGTCATTTTCAGTTCTTGTTTGATGTATGTCTTGTATGACATATACAACACAGGAAAAATACATTGTATATTCACATGTTAATAGACAATATATGACTGTTTTGTGGAAAGCGTCTGAAGTTGAGAATGTCAGTGAAAGTGTTGAGAATTCTTGCTATCATCAATCAGAGAGAAATTTGCTATGTTCTGAATTCCCTTAGGAAAATTGATTGACATATTGGTTGTAAAATTTTAATAACATTTTAGTTTTTTCATCCATGTAATAGTTTCTATGAATAAATAATGTGATCTAGTTTAATATTCATATTCGAAAGATGAGCCATGAACTCCACAGGTCACACAGAAATATAAAAAAATTGATCTAGAATATTGGAATCATTGCAAAGCGACTTACAAGATTGTGGCTGATTGGCTACCCTACTGACAACAAACAGTCACACCAATCAGAGAGCAGCTTTTTGTTGACATAAAAAAAAGTGATCTAGAATATTGAAGTCAATGCAAGACTACTTTATATACAAAACAGTGTGCCTGATTGGCTACCGAACCCAAATGCTAACAGTCAGGCCAATCAAAGAGCAGCTTGTTTTTTGACATAAAAAAAGTGGTGTAGAATATTGAAGTCAATGCAAGACTACTTACAAAACAGCGTGCCTGATTGGTTACCCAACCCAAATAATTAACAGTCAGACCAATCAGAGAAAAGCATGCATGGTGTCAATTTCTTTTTTGTTGTATCAAATTCTGCCTTGTATATATGCTTTGACTTAACTGGAATATTATAGTTTCCTCCTACTCTTCATGGGTTGCTTTAACAGTAATGTTTCAGTGATATTTCACAAACAAAATGGAAAACGATTGTCATTTGTTTGTTGTTTGTATTCGGCATATGGGACCTTGATGCACATCGTTTGGTTTTGCAGATCAGATTAAAAATGGTTGATTGGTGGCTATTTTATTTTGCCTTCTGATGCTGTTTTATACCATTCATAGTGGCTCAACAATCATGTTCAAACTTTACAAACACATCATGTCTAATGTATACATATGCATTTGTAATAATGTGACCGATTTTAGGATGGCCAAATGGCATCCATTTAAAACTGAAAGTGCACCAACATCGAGCATTCCTGCCATTTTGAAAAACCAGATTAAATCAAACCTAACATATATGTTATACATCATGACAGGGATTGTTTATCAATGACATGTAGTACCGATAAATGTATATACTGTAAAATACTTTATTATTCGCTGAAATAAAGTAAAGGATTTTTGGGTGTTTTGTATTTTCACTGATTTTTGGTGAGTTGATTGTGAAATATAGGGAAAAAGGTATATTTGTTAGATTTTAGTTTCACTGAATCATCCCTTCAGCGAAAATAGCGAAAATAAATTCCAAGCGAAAATAAAGTATTTTACGGTATATATGTATAAGTAGCAGCACAGCAGTACCGGTAGTAGAGTTTAGTTTCAACAATGCAGTTATGCAAATGAAATGTCTTCCTTTCTTGAATGAAGAACATTAAAGCGGGAGGGTCATCACCTGCGCACGTGCAGGAATTAAGTCCCAAGCGGCGATAACAACACATGTTAAAAGCGCAAAGGTTCATAGGTAGATGCTTGTTTGTAAACAATGACACACTATAGCCATCTGACGCATACGCAGTTGATGACTCCCCGCTTTGAATGATGGCAAAAATTAACTTGGTTAAAAGGAACAGTGGTGTTGCATCCATTTGCAACACTGTGGAAAAAACACTGACACATTAATATGCAGGTAACAAATGAATCATGATTTTATTTACGACCCATTCTAGATATCTCATACATTTGGACACCTTTTATTGTCTCTTTGCAGAGTTGCGGCACTCGGTTTAATCACTCTAATTATATGCTGGACAGCCTTGGGTGTTAAGCTGTTTGTGTCACTCGTAAGTAATTACAATATATTAGATGTGACATAGCTGTTTGTGTCTGTACTACTAAGCAGATACCAACATTGTGGATATGGACGTGCATTGTTCTCATGCTGTATTTTTGGGGGGGGCGGAGCTATGTCACAGAGAGTTCCATGTTGTTAAGATGCGTGGCACTGTACCATGTATGGTCTCCGTGCAAGCTGCTATGGAACACAGGTCTCAACAACTAGCCCAAAGTACAGTTTTTGGAGGGTTTTCAACTGTTGTTTTTTTCTCAGTGATGGTTGCCAGGCGGGTAAAAATGACAAAATGTTGGGTCCCGAGAATACGCTCTAATTATTTGCTGAATTTTATTTCTGCTTATTGTATTTGCTCCGTTAGAAGTGGATCTCCAACAGAAGTGCATTTGAATCAATAATCTCACTGACTGTACTTTTTTTGACCATAGAAAAATTTCTATAAGTGCATACACTACTATGGAGTAAATACTGTAACATTTTGCTGAAAGCCAAATGCACTGTATACAAACTCAGAGAATATGCTAAATTAATAAAAAGTATTGTTTTTTTCCTAAACCTTGAATTTAAAACCTAGTAAATAACCCTGCAACATCGAATCCACTAAAATTAAACGATGAATATTTCTTTTTTTTTTGCAGTATCAGTAAAGTATAAACTGCATATCCCCAATATATATATATATGTATTTTTTGTTTTTCTGCTTCTAAAAGCTAAAAAACTATTCAGTATACAACAAATGCAAATTTTGTTAATATGTGCTTTTATTGGAGATTCGATGATAGAATAAATACAGTTTCTTTATTTGTCATTGTGAAATAGATAACATCTTTTTTTTGTCATCATGAGACCATGATTCAGGTAGGGCTTGAAATTCAGAATCCAGAGGGAACCCAAAGTCTAGACCGAATCTGAAAAAAAATGTGGCATTGGATTAATATTGGGAATATACCGTACATTTCTTTACTCATTTACATAAATAGCATATTTCATCATCTGGTATAAATGTAATTTGGGTTTACATGTACCTCTTTTAAAGATGCCCTTCTAATAGAGAAAATATGATATCAGTATTTTTTTTAAATCCAGTAGAACGTCTTGAAAAAGAATTATTTTGTGCAGTTCCAACCTTGATGGTGTCATGGATGGAACTCGCATGTGGGATTATATATTGCCCATCCCCATCCCTATCCCATCCCATCCCATCCCATCCCATCCCATCCCATCCCTATCCCATCCCATCCCATCCCAGAGATATTATTGATCAATAGTCACACAAAACTGTGGATTGTATATAGGTATTGATTTATTCTGGCATGTTTAAAACTCGAAACGCAAAGTTACTTTGTTGTGATGAATGACTAGGAACACAACCATCACAGAAATCCAATAAAATGTTATCTGTATAAAACATGTGCGTGACAGCACGTCAGTAATTGGGTGCACAGTGCTCATGAATTCTGAGCATTAGACCATATCGCACTGCCTTGATGGCTTTTATCTTAATTGTAATTTGGCAAGATAAATATATTGAACAAAACTGCTCAATTATGTGAAGGAAAGACAAGAGTTACTCATTTCAGTGGCTATTTTTAGACAGTACGAAGAGTGAAAGTTGCCGTTAAGCATGATAACACTGGCAAGTCAATAAAATATCTATTGGAAGTAGTACAAGTACTGAGTATATAGATAGTTTATTGAGGGGAAAGTTCAGACAGAGATTTCAAATTATTTTAACTTAAATAAAATAAAATAAAATGAAATGAACTGAATGTTTTTTTGTTTTATTTTATATATTATGAGATTTACTGTAAAAAATGTTATGTTAAAATACTCGTGCTTTTGTTACAAGGACTGGCAGTGTTTAAATTTATGATTGATTGATACATAGCTGGAAAGTTGAATATTTTTATCATTACATTCACAAGCATTAGGTCGAAATGCAAAGACCTGCACATGAACAATTGTATTAGTTCATAAGCTGATAATTATCTATGACTTAGGGAGTCATTTATTCTGACATTAGCTGTACTGATAGTTGATAGTGACTTAGGGGGTTCTTTTTGAAACATCCTTTCATGCATGTATATGTACCAATATATCAGTTGTTTATCAATTCAATTTTCTGTTTATTCCTCCCTAGGGTACGAGTGATTTCTGTGTTTCACCAGATGTTTACATCACTGATCAAACTGCAGAGTTTCCACTTGGTGAAGGTAAGGCTGCTGGACATGAAAACAAATTGTGAAAAAGAAATCTTGTATTTTAGCCAATTTCTAGTTTGTGCAAGAACACAAATGTGTTTACATGACTTCTGCTTCTCACATAAAAACTTGTAAGCTAAATATCCACTTCAGTAAATTGAATATACCAGTATTATTCAATTGGGTCCCTGCTGTTGCTGCTCTCAATCCCGGGATCATTTGCTTGAGTTTGATTCAAGTTTCCGTTGTTATTTCCCATATTAAACATTAAGTAATAATGGAAATTCTTGTTTCTCATTCAATTTGATGAGATAAATCTTCATCCGAAAGTCACAGAATTGAAAATAGTTATAGCAGTTTTGTCTTTGTGAACCCCATCAATTTACATCAAACTTAGCATACAAAATTTACTCTAATGAACACAGTGTTGAGTAAATCTTGAATTAGGTGTTCAGTAATAATACAGAATACTGTAAAATAATTTTTGCTTAGAATAAATTTTCCCTATTTTCGCTGAAGTAATGTTTCAGTAAAAATAAAATCCAGCGCATATACCTTTTTTCTTGTATTTTACATTCAACTCGTCAAAATTCAGTGAAAATAAATTCCATACAAAACACCCAAAAATTCTTTTCAACGAAAATTAATTCCAGCTAAAATAAAGTATTTTACAGTATAATATATTCACATTTAACAGATTTATTTACATTGGTCAAATACATATCAGATAAATATTAACTCTCTGCACATATACCATACATAAATGACAACTAACATTTTGGGCATATTCTTCTCTTGGAGATGTGCTGCAAATACAGCTCTTGTACATTACTCGACCTACAAATTCATCAAACTTTATTCAACTTTTTTTATAATGTTTTCTTTCTTTCATGATTACCAACAATAATGAGAAAAACTTACCTCAGTTAAAAGGGCTTATGCATCAATTTGCGCTACATACACATTACTTAAAATGAATGAACATGTGAACACGCACAAGCGCCCTCTACAGACAATAAATGATGTGTCTATCATTTTTTTTTCAGATGTTGTGGAGTACTATGTGTACTGTTACCCGGATACGGATAATCCATTCCAAAATGTAAGATTTAATTTCAAAAACTTCTTACTGCTATTTTGTAACCAATGAAATTCAGTTTTTTTTTTTTTTTTGAAAATAAATTTCTGGTCATATTTGCATATCATATGCAATGTATACCTCCAGCTTTGAATTTAACATTGCTGATTGGCTGAATATTAACTTCTATATGAATGATCTATGCTTTAATAATCAATATTCTAACGTTGTTTCTTTAGCCCTTGAAAGATGGACAGACGAACTTAGATCTGACACAAACCAATATCCATAAAGTAGAGAAATTGGCTGCATTGTATTACCCAAAAGCCATGGTACGTATGTTATGTAGTTTGCAGTAAGTTTTTAGTTCCGTTGTCCAAAAGGGGGAGTTTTTGGATCTTGTCCATCCATTCGTCTGTCTTTGTCATGTCTCGAACATGCCTGGACCGATTTTGTTCAAAGTGGTACAAAGACAAGTCATAATGCATGTCAATTTTTTATTTTATTTTTATTTGGTTGACAATTGACTTGATTGACAATAATTGTCACAAAAAACAACATTTGAACAGTTTATCTACCGTTTCTCAGATTTGCTTATCGAATAAACATTACTCATACTGGCTTACTGATGCACGTCATCTAGTTAATTTGATTCAAAATGGATAACTGGCAGCCTGTGTTCCAGATATTGTGACAAATTTGGTTTAAATTAGGTACAAAGGCAAATTTTTTCTCCAGTTATTTTTTGATTTTGATGAAATTTAGCTGACTGGCCTAAATTTTCATTGAAGAAAAGAAAGTCAGTAAATTTAAAAATGATATAAACTGTGCTGATGTGCTACTCAAGGTAGGCTGCTAATGTGTGTCATTCAAATCTCGTAATCGTTTTAATTTATGAACACAAATATTTGCGGATTTTCTGAATCAGTAAAAATCAAACCATTTTTTGGCAGTTAAAATTTAATGACACTAACATAGATTTTCAAGCTTTTCTGAAACACTGATTTGCATAGACTTTCATGAAATTTTACTCTTACGAGTACCGTTGCAAAAATCAAACTGTGCTGATCTTTCTTTTTTTTTTGATTTGCTCCATAGAGCACTGTTCATGTCATAGTTAGAGGGTTGAACCAGACTGAGGCGGCGATACATCAAGTGGCTGCCCTTGTGGATTGTGATGTCTTACACAGTGAATACATGAGAGCTGTAACTGGCGTATGTTATTGTGCGCTGTAAGTACCACTACTGACTAATATATACTACTACAGACAACCTTTTTATAGTGACTGCTTTTAGGCAGTTCCAAGGCATAACTTATGAACAATCTGAGTATACCCTTTCAGCTCATTATTTTTTCAGATTTGTCTTTGTTCAGAGACAAAAATAATAATTATCATTCTGTTATAAAACAGTAACGACCGTCTGTCTATAAAGACCATTTTAAGGAAGTCCCTTAGGTAGTCACTATGCACAAGTTTAATTGTAATAGTCATGGCATATGATCAATAAAATCAATGTGAAAAGTGGAAAGCTATTAATATGGATGAAGTGTATGTGGGATCTGTTCATGCCTGACTGACTCACACAGATTTACCATGTACCATGTTGTATCTATTTACAGTGATGGTTTGGCATTGTTACTGGTGAGCATTGCCGGTGCCGGATTCTTGTTTGGTCTCATGGTGTTAGTTGCATCCTGTGCTTGGCGTCGCTTAGCAACAAAGTAAGTAGTATGTGGGTACTTAATTACAGATCATGTCATAGGTTAATCAATGACTATATCACTTGAGTACACCTATTGCAATCAACCTTTAAACCTAACTGTACAGTTATTTAATATTCCTAAAGCTGGCCTGGCATACTTCTTACAAGTTAACAATCTAAAAGAGAAGAGAGTATCATTTTCCCTCGGACTTCCTTCTCCCAATTATTAGAATTTGTTAGCTTTACCACTATTTTTAAAGTGACATTGGCTGTGAATTGTGAATTTTTTGTTGTTTAAATATAACCACTTAATGATGACCAAATCTTACAGAAATATTGTTTTACCGGTAGACACAATTGCATGACAATAGTCACCCTACACAATCAGCTGTCAAAGAGACGCTTAGCCTCTCAAGATGGCGACATATTTGTCATGATTTCGTCCAGGGCCCTGGTAAATTGTCATCTTGCACCGTAATTCCAGAATTTCACTTGACAAAACTTGATTTTAATAGATGGTGCACTCCCAATAATTGGAAGTAACCTTGCGACCATATTTTTCTACTTTCAAGTGATTTAATGTGCAACTTTGTTTTTAGTGTCTAATAGTACATTTTGGCGATGGCCATTACAAATTGATACCACAGATACAGGAAATGTTTTATTAAAAATAAATATCAGAGAAAAAGATCATTAGTTACAGCTATTGTGGCTTTAAATAACTGCAAAATTGCTGACATGAATATGTAAACAAAGCAATTATCTGCTAAATGCTAAAATAGTAATGTAAAATTATGCACCAATATTTTAGCATTAAACAAGTCATAACCTTTAAACCTTTGACCCTGATGTAAAACCTTTTTTAGTCCCCGTTCAGACAAAGTTCGAAAACGGAGACTTATAATTTGGTCTCTGTCCGTCCGTGCGTCCGTCCGGAATCATATCTCAGAATCCCTTGGACCGATTTTGTTCATTCTATGCATGTGCCTAGTACTTTATGTGGGACATATGCACATGCAGTGGTTTAGCGATTCGATTCAAAATGGCCGACTGGCAGCCATCTTGTTTTTTGAAAATGTTGTATTTTGGACATGCTTTGTCACTTGTCATTCAAACTTGGTACATAGATTATACATGTTAGGATACATGTCCATGACGATTTATTTCGCAATTGGATCAAAGATGGTCGACTGGCAGGCATCTTGTCTTGTTTTTTTATGCGGTATCTTGGACGTGCTCTGTCAGTTTTCATTCAAATTTGGCACATACATGTACTTTATACATGTCCATGCATGTCCATGACAATTTGTTTCAAAATCTGACTTTTTGGCCTTACTACTATATTTCCACAATTTATGTACCATTTTCATTCGTATTTGGCACATACATCATACATATCAGTGTGTTTATGTGGGACATATGCACATGCAGTGGTTTAGCGATTCGATTCAAAATAGCTGACTGGCAGCCATCTTGTTTTTTGAAAATGTTGTATTTTGGACATGCTTTGTCACTTGTCATTCAAACTTGGTACATAGATTATACATGTTAGGATACATGTCCATGACTATTTATTTCGCAATTGGATCAAAGATGGTCGACTGGCAGGCATCTTGTCTTGTTTTTTTATGCGGTATCTTGGACGTGCTCTGTCAGTTTTCATTCAAATTTGGCACATACATGTACTTTATACATGTCCATGCATGTCCATGACAATTTGTTTCAAAATCTGACTTTTTGGCCTTACTACTATATTTCCACAATTTATGTACCATTTTCATTCGTATTTGGCACATACATCATACATATCAGTGTGTTTCATAATCAGATCAAAGATGGCCGAATAACGGCTGTTTTTATTTTTGGCCATATTACTACTACAACTAAATAAACAATCTGTTGTATACGTCACTTGGAACTAAAGTTTCAAGGACACGCTCGCGACAACCCCTCTGCTTTAATATGACGAGCACAAAGAGAACTTTCAAAAATTAAACAAGGACTGTGTCATTTTCAATGACTTGTTCACAACTAAAATATTAAAATGAAAATATTAAAAACGTTTGCTCAAAATATAAAAATATATTAGCTATGTCAAAAGTCTGTTTCGTTTAAAGAAAAATTTGAAGAAGTGACTGTTCCGATTTTGGGCTTGTTACAAAAATATATATGGGTATGTATATTTATTTATTTTTATAGGAAAAACTACTACAAAGTGGAGAAGACAGATGGGTTGTATCCAAAGCCTCAGAGTGATGCGACCCCCTATCTTGATGCTTATTATAGTCATAATACAACTATGCCTGCTATACTGAGGTCACCTGATCCAGAAGTCAGTTCCATAAGGTGAGGGCAGGGTTAAGTGTCACATCCACAGTCCAATTCTGTATTTGCTTTATTAGAAGCGCATCAAAAATAGACACAATATGTATACACATAATGAGATGACAAGAAGCAAAAGGAACCTTGTTTATGATGATGAAAAAAAAACAAATCTAACTCATCTTGAATTTCTTTCATTTTAGTAGTACCGGTCGAGGAAGTGTGGAGATTGCACAACGTGCCAATCAGTACACTGGAGGGCCAACTACCCAACAACTACCTAATGGTGAACAGACACTGCCACTGATACGAGGGTCACCACCACCAGCAGTAAGTACAGTAAATCATGTGGGTCCCATGCCACATGTACAACATCTGTAAAATACATATGTACATTGTTTGCACAAAATTCAAACTAAAAAATTTAAACGTAAAATGTTTTTTTCAAGAATGCCCAAATCAAACAATCAAAATTTATTGTAGCGAATACCATTTACTGTTACAGTACTATGTAAAAAGGGCAGTGGTAATCGCGCCAAACGTGTGCGACATTTGCGTAATAAACATTGAGTTTCCCAGAATCCAATGCACGTTTCTAATGGAAATCACATGCACGAGTTTTGACCTGGACGTGACATGCACTAATTGCTGTTGATGACCAAAGAAATTACCAAGTGAAGGCTTGGCGACATTGCCCAACGATCATCGCTCTTTATCAAAATGTTTCTTCAATAAAATATTTTTTTTTTTCACTGCAGTATCATCCCGTCACCGTTGACCACACTCCACCTCCGCCAACATCCATCCCGCCAAATCCATATGACGAGTATACAGTGGATCAATATCGGCAGATATGTATACACTAAACAAGTGTGCACCATCTTTTGTGTTCTAAGTCTGAGAGTTACTGTTTTTTCTAGCACAACAGTTTTTATTAGAAGACTAGCCGTTTTTATTGAAGAATGCTTGTTAGAAACGGTGAATCTTTGCTGACATTGATAATCAGGCACATTGTCAACAGCAAGAGTTACATAAACAACAACTCTCAATTATTAATCAGGTTTACTAGGATTTTTATTTCCTTGACTGCCACGGTGATTCTAAGGCATGTAGTGTGAATCCTTTGACAATCTGTGTATTGTCATTAAGACGATAAATTAGTTTGTATCAAAAAATATCAACAATTTAAGTTCAGTAAATGTGATTTTAACTTTATTTTCCTTAAAATCCACAACTTAGTGATGTGCCTATTTGACATTTTTTTCTCATAAAATATTATTGTAATCTTTAATGTAATGACATTTTGTCTAAACTTTGACATCACAAAGGAGTTGTTGTAACTCATGAAAACAACAGATTTATAACAACCTGGCACTAGAGGGCTCTCTACATTTCAAAGCCCGTTAAAATATTTCCCAGTCATTGTACAGGTTGATGTTTCAATAATTGCTGTAAATACGGTGCCTTATACGTGATAGTAGGGCTTTTTTTTTAGTCGTTCTTTATACTACACAACCAACTCTAAACAAAATAAAAAAGAAGGTTGTTTTTTTTGTTTTGTTTTTCTGAAGATGGTGTTGTTTTAGAATCGTATATTTTTGAGGTATCTATGATAATGTATGGTTTATTATATCCTATAATAAAGAATAAAAGATTTATTAAATAATGGAATATGTAATGTAAATAACATTTTTAATATTAATATTTGATGTAAAGATTTTTCTAATTACTACACTTTTTACTCGTCTGGGTGTTGCTCTAACTGCTCCACAAGCTTGTTTTCTTGTTTGCTTCCTTTCAAATAAACAAAAGTTCAGGCATTGTTCATTTGTAGAGGGCAGTCTTCCTGCCCATTTTTAAAAAAACAAAATTGTCTCTACACTATCTTGCATATTTATATGTATATAATAAACCCCAAAATAAAGAAAATATTTTTTTCGTAATTTTTATCTTTTGAATCCAAGCAGCTGTTTAAATACTACATCTGTACAATTTTATTTTCAACACTACTGTCGAGACATTTATTTTAATGGTTTACTTATTTTATATTGTGAACAAATTTGTAAACCTGTCTTTGTAATTTGTTCTTGTCCTCAGTTGTGGAGATGTTGAAGGATTTTTGATCTGTATATACAGGTTGCCATGGTGATGAAACATAGTGAAACTATGATCACTGCCTGAATGTAGTATTTTTCCCCCATCAATAACATAGCATTAAATTTTTCTACCAATGTAATTTTAAAAAAAAGTGTTTTTAATCTCGTCTTACTCCCTGTTCCGATATATCTTGATTTGAATATTTAAAAACAAAAATATTTAGAACAGAGGTCCCTCACAAACAATCAATTCTTGCAATATGTTTGATTTATGAGAGCCAATTTCTTGATTCCAACTATTTGAGGGGAAAAAACAAACCTCTTGATTCCAGTTTGATACCATTTTCATATTTTAAATTCAGTTGATTGTTTTTAATATTCCGTGCCTTTTGTATTAATGTACTGGTAAATATTATTATTTGAAGTGGGGCTTTTCACACAATCTGCATGATATAAGTAGCAGCTCAAAATTGTGGTCAAATATAGCTTTGAAGTCTCACTGAATTGCCTCTACAAAGAACACTAGCAAAACCAAATGAAATGATCCAGTAGAATTTGCTCTGCGAATGTTTTTATTTTTCCTGTATAGCAATATTTTGTGTACCCACTGTGTTTTTCAATTGTACATGTGTTATACATCTTGAAGCTCATTACTGAAGTACAGAAGCTCACAACAAACTCGCTGAGAGTGCTTGACCCAAACTAGATTAGATCACTTTTTATCATGTAATTTTCATACCTTTACCATTGTCTATATCAGCTGAATATATTTCACATTTTCTGTCAAAAAAAATAAAATTAGAAGAAAAAAAAATTGCTTATGTTTTTATTGATTTATGCAATATTTGGAGGAAGCTACCGGAATATCGCGCCTTGGTACTTAGAATTGCAAGGGGAACAACACCGTTTAACTTGTTTATTTTGCTTGTGACCTCATTATTGCGTATACAGTGTACATGGTCTATTGTGGAATCATGCTAGTTTCCCAATAGAAATCTCAAATAGCGCACCTGTAAAATACTAATTCAGATGTTATTCACCCACAGTGTCAGTGGATGACTGTCTTTCATTGACTGGTTTATTGAAACCACAGGATGATATTTATTCCTCCACTGATATTTGGCAGAGCCACAAAAGTTCTTCATAATGTGCACGGTTAATGAATAAAGTTACCAGGGTTAGGTTAGTCAGCCAATTTGTGTATTAACACAAAACTTCAATTATGTCTGTATGATCCTGAACAATATTAAAAACATCAAAGCAACCCTAATATGACACAAAATACTTGGTCTCCAGTGTAAATACATTTTATTCAAAATTTGTTTCATTTGAAAAAAAGCAATAAACTTTGTCAAGGAAGTGCATTGAAATATAGTTCAATTTTGCGGCTTTTAGTGTCTCTCCATTCTGCAACATAACTACCGGTAAGAGACACTTAGCAATTGGACTAGTTAATGATAATAATTTGGCTGTTCACTGCATGGATATACAGTCACACCAATGTCCAATACACCAGACGTATACAATGAGTGTCAATTACATCGTCTATTTACACAAAAAAGCATGCAATGACACTACTGTGGTGTTTAAAGCGGGAGGGTCGTCACCTGCGCAGGAATTTAGTTCCAAGCGACGATAACAACACATGCTAAAAATGCACAGGTTGACGCTTGTTTGTAAAAAATGACATACTATGGCCATCTGACGCATGCACAGGTGACGATTCCCCCGCTTTAAAATGACCCAATACGAATAACCACATGCATTATAACATTACACTGGAAATATTTCATATCAAGTCTATTTACAAATTCCTCTGATGCTACAAAAATCCAAATGTGTTCATCTCATTGCAATAGATAGACGCAAATAGCTGCTGAGATAACGTTGAGAGCATCCACCTGACTTGTTTTTCCCCTCAAATAGTGTTTCATTCTCCCCTGTCATCAAATCCACCGTTCCAAATATTATGATTACATAGTAGTAGATCATGGGAACAGTGGACATGATGATGGGGGAGAATGCTACCTATTTGAGGGGCAAAAACAAGTCTCCTGGTACTCTCACTCTCCACAAGATCTCCTCAGCAGCAATTTATCTGTAGTACTTATCTAGGAAGACTAAAGCAGTTTAATATTGCTTGTTTTTTTCTTTTTCTAAATGTTGTCCAACAAACAAATACAATAAAAAGTATATCTCAAACTTGGACCATTGGTTTACAAACAAGCGTCAATCCCACGTTTGTCACTTTTTATAAAAACTGTAGAATTTCTTCATTTTTTGCTAAAGCATTATTGGTCACTATAATCTGCAAGTACTACCGTGCTGTGTCAATTCCGACTAAAATTAGAATATAAATTACAGAAATATATGGGAAATGACAGCAATTTTTGGTACTGGTAAGTCCTGCTATAATTTTGTATACCACATTTGCTCTACTAAATAGCATCGTATGCATCTTACAACATGGCAGAGATGTGTCTAAAAAAAAGGCCATATTATAATGTTCTGTATACAATGTATACTGTATACAATAAATGCAAATCTCAGTTCATACACATCTAATGGAGCAAATACAGAAATCAGAATACTGTTAGCTTTATACTGGACATAAATTTACTTAATGTTAAAATCATAAATACCAAACTGATGTCACAAATACAAGAAACTTAAAAACAATCACGAAAAAAACATGCATGTCAAATGTAACAGTGTGGGATTTCCATTACAGGCCTGTATCAAAAATGGGGGAAAAACGATGCTAGTTTATTCTGAGAAAGTTTCTAAGAGTTAAAGACCTCGATAATAAAGAAACATAATTTTTTTTTTCAACTTTTAGCTGCCTACTTGTCCATGATTTTTTCACTTTACGTCAGCCCCTAATACTTATGAGAGTAAAGCGAGTTCAAAGTTGATGAAATGAATATAAAAGTGGTGTGTGTATAATATTAAAAGTAGTGTCATGGAAAAAACTAAACGCGTGTATTTGATAACAAAGAATGCACTGGAGGTGGGAGGGGAGGGGGGTTGTTGTCAAGCGTTTCAGAATTTATTATACCCGGTACTGTGGTATAAATAATGGATTATACATATCATGAAGAAGAAGAAAACAATTAAGGGAGAATATTCTGCTATGTCGGTAACTATACTACAAAAGAAAAAACCAAATATATGAAATTACAGCATGGACATGTGCTCAAAATTCTGTAAATACTGGATAAGGGTATTTCATATTATCGCAGAAAAGGATATTTTGCTGTTCACATAACTCTCATATAAAATAAGAATAAAAAAAACCATTTCTATATTAAACTTGCATTTGCCCCTTCACGTGGCTGTACCCTTGCATCCCCATAAACCTATAATGGATGAATCCAAATTGCCCACATCAACATGATTTAATACTTGGTTACACCCATATGGGCAGGTCATAATAATTAAATAAAAAAACATTTCCTTGTTATCCCCCCTCCCATTTGGTTACATGATATAAATTGTTTCTAAAATTGTTACTCGACATACATTGTAATAAAAATAGCATCCTGAGTTTAATATATATATTGGCCAACTTATTGATTGTCTGGTTCTGGTACCAGTATTCTCTGCACGTAGCTTGCAACATCAACAGTTTTGCTTTCATATGGTGCAATGAACTCATGTTTCTGAAATATTGAAAAAACAAAAGAATCACTAAAACCAAACTATATAGTATTCTGTTTAAACTGGCTCAATGAACTTGCGTTTGAAAACAAAAGAATCATTAAAATCAAACTACAGAGGGAGATATAAACATTTGGCAGCACTGTCCCACATTGCGTGTTGGCTTAGGAAGAAAATAATTATTGCAAATTGTAGGGTGATTTACCATCAAACAAATTCTTTTCTGAAATGAACATGTATTGCTTACTAATAAAATACATATGTAAATTGAACACCGAAAGAAGCTAGAAAATTCAGCTTTAATAGAAATTTTTTCTATATGGAAAAGGTGTACGATAGTTTAGGCATGATTTTGACTGACACAGAGTTTGGTTAATATTGGTCTTACAGTATAACAGAACAACTGTACTACACTCGATAAATATATGTTCTTCATTGCAAATATTATTACAGCAGGTGAGCAAAAGATGGAGGAAACTACAGATATATAAGTGAGACAACTTACCAAAAGTGATGGATATGAAGGTCTTTCCCTGAAGTTCTTTTTAAGGCTATAAAGACAAAGAATGAAAGCAATACATTACTATAAGAGTACATGACCTGACTGATGTAACCCGAATGAGATCATGTGACCTGACTGAAGTCACATGACCTGAATGAGATCATGTGACCTGACTGAAGTCACATGACCTAGAGACTCGGGATCTCTCTGTAAATTACACGTCTTGTTTACAGACACAGTATTTTACTGAATTGTATTATTGCATCAAATCATTTCTTCGAAAAAGCTACATAAATGTACGTATGGTTGAAACTTCTAAAGAATTGGTGTCACATCAAAGAAAATGCCTCAGTTGAGGAAGCCTCTACCTTTTAGCATCCCCTAGACAGGTCAGAAAAACGTCTTCAATAATGAACCAACTTACCATAGTTCTGTAAAGTTGACAAACTCCTGTGAAAAAATGCCGTCTGGTAACTTTGGTGATGGCTCCTTTACAACTTGCTTCAACTGCGCAAACGGCGTTCCCCATGAGGCGTACGGGAAGTTACCAGTCGCCAACTCAATCTGAAGAAACAAAGGAAGAGTTACAATCTAATGGAACATTAGATTTATAACACTAGTCTCACAAAATATACTTATTCAATCTGCAGTCTTTTACATTCCTGCAATTTCACACCATTTTATGTGAAAGGTGTGGGCCGAACGACTGCCACAAAAATTGAATGATTAGATTTTGAACTTATTTTTATAGATCAATGTCAAGATGCTGATTTTTTTAGAGGAGAATATGACATTGGGATACTTTTATTTCGTCAACGAACAGAATGTCATATTTGTGTTTTTCTTACACAATACGAAAAGCAGTTGTTCCACACGTATGAAACTTGACTTTATTCCTATTACAATTTTATTCTAAAATTTCCACAAACTGTTTCCCCAATGGAATATTCTAAATAAATTATAGTGCATAGTTTTATAGTCAAGATGGGTAAAACCCGGAGATAACACCTCTCAAGAGGACAGATGGACAATAATTTCACTGTTTTAAGCCTGCCCCCGGAGTTGATAGAGATATCAGATATTGTTCATATCGCAAAGTTACCTATCTGGTATATAATTACAGGAATATTGACATACTGGTTGGTTTATTGTTTTCGTACACTGTCAATATACTGGAAGCTTGTCTGAAAGCAACATTGCTCACTGACTAACAACTTTGCTTACTAATGCACTGTATTGATGTTTGAACACTACATGCAGCTGCAGTAAACATGGAAATGTGCAAAAAATACTTTCACACTTGTTGAATGTGCAACGTTTTAACGCCACTATGACTTTTGTTTGTACTGTTTTTATGTTCAATTTCACACATAATGTGGGATCTCGCAGCAAGCAAAAAATTGGATCAAATGACAACACATAATTTGTACTTTAATAACCCAATAAAAACCAAAATGAATGGGTTCGGCTGGTTTGTTAAACATGATTTAATGAAATTCCATATCAACTGGCAAATACAATCTACATATGTACAAGCACGGTGTCTATCTGTCAACATATTCCCCAAGCTCTGTGAATTTTTAAAGACAGAAAAACAAATGATCAAGGTGCCATAGCATGAACGCTGAAATTGATGTACTGATTACTACAGAGACAGGGGACTGGTATATATAATTAGGAAACAAAGTATCCTTGGAACGTTCTATGTTGCTAAGACGTGCACCACTGTAGCATGTATTTCTATGGGCTCTGCACAAGCTGCTGTGGAACACCGTTCAAAGAGCCTGTGAAAACAGCTAAAGTCAAAAAAGCAGCACAAACTTTTAAATAAACCAAATTTATATATATATATATATATAGGGGTAATCTTGTTACCCTGTGTCAGGGGAGTCTCTACAACTATCCCAAAGAAGAGTTTTCTGAGAGTTTTCCGTCTTTTTTTTCACCGTGATAGTTGCCAGGCGATGAAAACGCCCGGATGTTCGCCTCGAAAATACACCATCTAGTGAGGAGTCCTTTATGTCAATTATAATACATGTACCCTGAAATGTCAGTCACTAATCCATTGAATTCCACCACTGCCACATTTCCTGGGTGTTAAGTCTGTGTTGTCAGTAGCAGTATTTTCTGAAACTTAACCCTGATATATTCAGTGATGACACTCTCACAGAACCTACAGGTTTATCAAGACAGCACATCAGAATACTCACCATAGTGATACCCAAACTCCAGACATCAGATTTAATATCGTAGCCTTTTTCATTCTGTGTTATTTCAGGATCAATTCGTTCTGGCTGAGAATTAAGAACACAAAAACATTATTACTAACGCAATCAGTTATGTTACATGTATGTATAAAAGCACATATCACATACTACCCAGAATGCACTTGTCAAGAATGGAAGTATCCAATCTTTTTCCTATTTATTTTGTCTGCACATCATATCTACATATGTGTATAAAGATATAAGGGGTGATCTCATATTCAAACACCTGGGTCAAACCTGGGTTAACCCGGCCTGCCCTTTTCTGCCCTATTCAGACCTACTAGACCTACAATATGCAAATTAGTAGTAGGTTTGAACCTAATCTCTGGATTAACTGGCCATTAACGCCCCCACTGAAAACAAACAACAGAGAACAAAGAAGACAGACCTAGGGAAACCTAAGTTTTTCTTACAATACTGTTTCAGCCTGGTTTCAGTAGGAAAAAAATTAAGATGTATACTATGGAGCTCCATGTTCATACTGAGTGTTATATTTTGAAGTGTTAAGAATTACAGCAGCGATTTTTTTTCTTTGCAAGTCTTGTACATGTAAATGCTAATAAAAAACAAACTTGCATTTGTTTCACAAATCTATTTACATCATGTCATTTATAAGTGTGATGAAAATTATATTCATTTATTTCTGTGATTGGTAATAATAATCAGTTTCTCACAACTTACACTTTGGTACAAGTCAGAACAATTGTTATTGTTATTCAATTTATCTGGAATTAATTACTGACGTGATGGTTTGTTATATTTTGTCATTAAATGAG